GAGATGAGTTCGGATACTAATGGTGCCAATAGCATTCTAATAAGACCACTGTCTTGCCTTTCCTCTGAGCCTCGAGCATCAGCCAGAACCTCTCGGCACTCCCCCCCCCCCAATCAATCTCAACAGACTGGTAATCCTTCTGCTCCTCCAAACTGTAAACGCTCTCCCACAAGGCACTTACCAAGTCTGCCTTATCATGCATCAGTATTTAACCAAGTTATGCAGAGCCACCCAGTCTGACCACCTGTTCATTTCCCAACACATCGGTATAATCCGGTGAAAAAAATTCAAATCAAGACAATACTCCGTGTCATCCGTGTCCTCCACAGGGAATCATGCCACTCTGCACGAAGCATGCTTGTCCTTATCTTCCTCAGCATGCTTTTTGAGTCAGTTACAATCTTGATGTGTGTGTTATGATCTCTAACCAACGGAAAGTTGCAGTGACCGCCTCCACCTTCATTCTTAAGCTGGATACTGTGGTATTATACGCTAGGCTCTCCTGCACCAAACGTCGACCATTACTTTTGCTAAGAAATCCCAAGCACTTCTTTTGCCTCTTGACACAGAACCATCTGTGTATATAATAAAAACCTTTGAGCTAGCAATATCTTGAATTAATTGCTGAATTCCCACCTCCGTGGCACCTGCTGGCCAGTCTCTGCATTTCCGACAGTGTGATTATGACCAGGTGGCACTTTGACCCACTTCCCTCCTCGCCTAATGTTACCAAGGATACAAACCTGTCTGATTGTGTCTTTTGCCTGAGCCATCCGTGACTCCCTCTTATCAGCCGTTACCCTTAACTGCACTCAGAGCTTCGTGCAAAGGGTGGTCTGTGTCTGCAGCTACCCTGAGATATGACTTCACCTGCAGCACCTTGTGCCTACCTGCAACAGTCAACAGACCAAGGATGTATCGCATACACACCACTGAGGTGTCTCTGGTGCAAACCAGAATTACCCGCATAGCTGTGTTCTGTATGCGCACTAGTTCATCTGACTCTTTGAGATGGTAAGCAGCCCCAGGCCATAATCAACCACTGACAGGATCAGGTGTTGATATAGTGTGAAAAGCATTCTCTGCTCTGTCAATTGCAGCCATAGTCTTGAGAGACCTGTATTTGTTAAGAACGTTGGTACTTGAACACAAACTTAGAAAATGCACTGTTAAATAAAAAAAACACTAGCTATGAATCAGAATGATCTGCATCCACATGGCTTGGAACCTGGAATTTTATTCAAAGGAAGACGTTAGAGTAACCTTCCTTGAATACTTTAGAAGTAGCTCCGAACATTAGAAATGAATAGGGCGCCATTTGCAAAACAATTTTTACGGGACACACGGTCGACGCTGACATCTTTGTTAAGGCAAATTAGTACTTTTCAATCAACACTCACAGCTCTTCTCAAACCTTAAAGAGTTAAGCCTGCTGCACCTGACTTTAGAGAGGCCAGTGGAAAAGGGGGAAACCTTGACTTAGCTCTCTAAATGAGCATGCTATATATATATTTAGTTGATATATATTTTACAGGAGTTGCTGTGGCGTAGAGAGTAGAAACTTGCCTGCTCATTGGAAGGTCATGGGTTTGTACCCTATGGAGCCGGGCTTTAAAAAAAAAAAGACCTTGGTTCCCTGATTGACCCAGCCTTACGCAGGTACCAGATGCAGTCCTGGAAAGTAAAGGCGGCTGGGGTGATGTTGACCATATTACCAACCAAGTGCCAATTGGTCTATGAAATATAGGTCTAGCCCTATATGCCCAGTACACGTGAAGGTGTAGAAAAGGGTCCTTTACTTTACTATATTGAACATCCAGGCTTCCTTAACAGTAAACTATGCAGGAGCACTTATAATCATTCACCTATACTTTTTGAGACCCTCACTGCAGAAATGGCTGTATGTCATTGTCACTATATCTGCATTTATAAGGTTTATGGCATGGCTGTAATTTAAGTGAATAGATTTAACCTTCTCGAGGCAACAGGATTAAGAGTCCTTGTAACAAAGGTTACTTATCATTTGTTAGTAACTGTTTGACAAACTGGCACATAGGTCCGACTCATTTCTGCTCACCAGTGCTGCAGCCTTCTCAGTGTAAAGGTAAAGTCGGGAGATGTGAACCAGCGTCATTGCACACAGTTATAAACCATAAGTGCTCTGCCAACAATATAGACAGCTGATAATTGGCACCTATGTATCTCAGAACCTGGAAGTAAAGCGTGGTGAAGTACTTCTATATCATTTTCAAGGCTAAGATAGGAGACACAACCGTTTCCTAATAAGACCTCCAAGAAGAAAATGGATTGATGATGTTAAAAACATTGTTCATGTACACTGAGTGACATAATTTAGCAGCACCCATCAGATGCTGGCCCACCAGCTATTCATTCGTCCCCCACAGTGGTTGTTATCAAAAGTGGGAGACAATGGTGACAGTGATGAATCTTCTGTGTTCACCCTTCAAAGAAACATTGGCACATTGTGTTGTGGTTTACAGCTAGGCTGTGATTTCTGCACATCTTAGCCCAACACGTCCAATTTCAGCTAATCCTAAAGTACTTTTCGCCCTTTACAAAGTGCTTGTTGTTAAGGAATGTTTGTTCCTTTTCCTCGACTGTCTCCCACCCAATTAAGTATTAAATATCCTTTACATAACAAACTAAATGTGTGTGTGTAAAACATAGAAAATACAGCATTTTATTAACTCTTTGGCATTGTTGGAATGATATAAAAATGCCTTTAATTTAATTTTCTGAATAAAAAGTTAAAGTTAAGAGGATTGACTTCGTTGCACTGGTTTATTTTTTAATTTTTATCTCATATGGCTTGGTCTCTTTTCACAGAACGTCTAGTCACATGTCAAGAGCGATACATAAAATAGGACTTCTTAGCTCACCAGATGATCTGCGGGGGTTTTCCGTTAAAACTACACGCTTGAACCGAACCGCTGCTGAAGAGCAAACCACTTTGGCTAGGTCCTGAGGCAAACGGCTTGACCACACGACTTTGCCTGTAAGCTCCCACTCCTGTTGTTAAAGAACCAGTAGTCAGTAGATTATGGGGTCAGTCTCACACCAGCCTTCCAACAGAGTGATTTCCCCCTTTTATAAGACTGGGTCTTCCCAGAATAATTTCTTGATGTGGTTTGAACATAGGACCTTGTGAACGGTATGCAGGGCACTAGCTGCTTTGCCGTCAGTCTCATATGGTATTTATGTGTCGTCATTATTGTTGTGCTTTACTGAGGTAATTAATCATTAATCAATTCTGTTTTATTAAGGTCAAGTTTGAAGAAAAGAAGAAACGAAAGCAAGAAGAGGAAAAAATGGGTGACAAGGTAATGGAGCGTTTCTGTCAACACATTTGACTAGTAATATATGTTGTCTTTGTTTTTTTTCTGGTTATAAAGATGTTTGACTCTTTAGGTACAATGTTAGTCTGTTAAAATTCCTATTCTTCTGGCCTCCTCCTCAGCTACTTCGTTTAGCTAGCAAAGGGAGAATTGATGATGGTCAACAATCTGACGAAAGAACAGTTATTCTCAGAGGTTTATGACTTAGGCACGTAGGCCAGTCTAACATTCTGCCCTTTGTGCCTCATTCCTGTCATACTTACTTTAATAGGTAATAATAAACATCAACAACAACTAGATATTATTTAGAAGTACTGGAATGTGCTCAGATTATATAATTTCTAAACAAAAATTTATAGTATAAAATTGTAATAAATCTTGGCGAAATATACCATGTGTTAACATAATTATCTTTTAATGAGACATGTAGTCTATAGTTAGATAATATTCAAAGTTTCCTGGTATGTAAGGGGGTTAGCGGTATTATCTTAAACCTACCAGGTAATCAGAATCCACATTTCTTTCTCTGTAGGTGTAGTTAGAATATTGACAATTCTTTAGGATTAGTAAAGCATATATAATTTAACAACTTACGAGTGGTGCAGCACTGAGTTAAGCACAGTAAGAACTGACATCACACCACCTATGACATTCCCATAAATGCTCCATTCACATCTTCAGCAGCCAGTACACAGTGCAAAGTTCCAATTCTACTTCTTATAGTCTGTGCCATATGTTGTTGGTAGTCATGTCTGACCACAACCTTCTGCTGCGTTTACTTTCAATCAGTTCTGACACATGATTTTCCATGCCATGATGTCAAGCTGTCCAGCATCTTCTCTCTCTTTCTCGGACTCCCTCTGCCATTTTCTCACTGTCATAGTTTTGCCATTCTCGTGACATGGCCAATGAATGTAGACGGGCAGTCAGTTGTCTTTACGAATCAGTTTGTTTCAAGACATCTTACTCTGTTTTTTGTGTTGGTTTTCGTGTGTGTGGTTTTTGAGTGTTGATCTGTCCAAGGTATTCTCCTCATTCATCTATAAAACTGCATCCAAATGATTGTTAACTAATTGCCCAGCCATCAAAGTTTCACTTCTCTGTATGTCAGGATAGGATTTATATAGCCCTTGAGAATTATCTTTTCCATCTCCATTGACAGAGAAAGACTATGTAGAATATTTTTCAATTGGGAAAATGCCATAATCACTTGAGGAAATATAAATTGATGCCTTGTCTGGAAGCTGAACATAGGCCACTGTCATGGCAGGAAGTGTGCTGATTGCTTTGCTTAAGATTAATTTTCAGTAAAACTTCTGCTCGAATTTCAAAGGACTGAAAATAGTTTACCTCTTTCAGTCCCAGAGGGTTAAGCATCAGAGGCCCAAGGGATGGTAAAGACAGGCGTAAGATCTTGGGTTCAGTAGGCTTCTAAGTAGGAACCTATGATGGGTGATGCATTTCTCATGGGTGAACGGGTTAAAAAACAACAACTTAGCTAACCAGGGACTAAAAATACCTCCCTGCTCAGACAAAAATAATGGTTCTTGTCAACTGAACTTTCTTCTTAAGTGAGATCTTGTTTATGAGGTTTTACTGTCATTAAAATATTAACCATGTAAATATATTTTTTGGTTCATTCAGGCACCACCAAAGAAACAGCCAAAAACAATAGAGAATATGCGGGTACCAGATGAAACAAAGGTTGATCCGGACAATGAAGAGGTTAGCTAATTTAAATTTATTTGTTGCATTTGCCATTGTAGAGACATGTTTTGCATCAACTATCTTTCTTTCCTTTTGAAATATCAAGAAAAACGTGATGGCGAACCAGGTGGCATAAAAGCTTCACTCCACCATAACCTCTGAAAGTATATGGTTCAAATCAATATGGAGTGTGATTTTTTTTCTTTAAAGAAATGAGCTTGGCTCCTGGCAAGTTAAGCAGGCTAGCATGATGTATTGAGGGCAGATAAGTCTGTAAAAATGGATTTTTGGTCTATAAAAACGAGTCTAGATGCATATGCGCCATTGGTGTTAAAAAGGGCTGGTCGAATCTTTCATAGAGATCACCAAAGACCATCGGGAATCATTTTCACTGAAGTTATGAAGTAGCAATGAAAATGTATGGTTTTGGGTCGCCACAACATGAGGAACTGTATTGAAGGGTCGTGGCGTTAGGAAAGTTGAGAACCACTGGTCTAGTCTAACTCAGGATATGTATATTTTGGCCATTCGGAAGCTATTTGATGCTTACTGTCAAAATCCTGCATCAGAAGGTATTTGTGTAACAACTCTCCTTGAAAAATCAAATATATAAGGAGCATTCATTTGAAATCCATTCCAGTGGCTTTATTACAAAAGCACAAAACTTCCACATCATCATCTGGTGTGGCAGAAGTAAACAAAGCATTCATTCTGAATGAATTATGCACCAAAGGTTGGTCAGATAGTTACTGCAGACATTCAGGCAAGCATCTCATTGCCTAGGTATTCAGCAAATGCCACTCACACAAAAAAGTCCCAGTAAATGACCCTTTTCCCTGTCTTCATGCTTATTAGATATTTAGGGCAAGACTTTTATTTTATATACCAATCAGCACTTTGTGATTGATGTGGTCAGTATTGCACCAGCCACCTTTACTTCGCAGGATTCCACCTGGATCTCACTGAGGGCTTAGTCGAGGTAATTTTGTTGTTGTTGAAAAGTCGGTAACGCCAGGACCCGAACCCATGACCTTTTATTCCGCAGGCAAGCATCTAAATACTGTGATACAATGGCTCCTAAACTCCCATTTGATACATAACATTCTTTCACTGACAAATATTTGCTTCAGTGGTTCCCCTTTAAATACTGCAGCAGTTTTAGTGATGGTTTTATATGCTGCAGCAGTTTTGCTGATGGTTTTATATGCCGAAGCAGATTTGGTGATGGTTTTATGTGCGGCAGCAAAATAGTATACTTTTGACCCAGCCCTGGAAGATCTATCGCATACTCAATCTTTTCCTAATTCCTATGTACCCAGCCAGTCAGCTTTGTGTTTGACACTTTATTGTAGTTCACTGCCAGTGTTCTGTCATGAATGTCCACTTGTTGACATCCTTTCGATTAAAGAAATCGAATCATTACTCTTTGGCTTCTTCGGATAGATTTTAGATCAACCTGGCTATTTTCTCAGTGGTCAGAAACAACATGGGCATCATGGGATGATAATCATGTGCTCTCTTCTACTGACTGATCTGTACTTAACACATGATTACGACCTAATGCACAGTTGTGTGTGGTGCTGAACAGGTTTTGGTAAAAGTAACGTTGGTCTCCCCACACCCCGCCCATATACACTTTAGCTCACTTCTTATTGGTAGTTCCTGAACCTGTCACTTGGGCACAAGGTATGAAAAGTGACCTACTCTATTCAGGGACCTAACCCAGGTTTCAAAAGAATGCTCATAATATCATGATTGTGTAGAAATACATTGATACAATTCTGACTGTTGTAAGCTTCAAGGTAATAACAGATTTTCGTGTGTATTTAAGGCAATGATAAGCCTTCAAACAGATGAAATGGCTCCTCACTTCAACCAAGAGACAACTCCCAAGATTTTGATCACCACTTCGGATAGGCCCAGACAGGTTTGTTCCAATGTGTTTTGTCTTAATTTGTTAAGCTAAAGTCAAGAGGATCAGCTCCATTGTACTGTATTTTAACCTATACCCGACCTCTCTCTGGAGCTTCTGTCAGAAAATGTATACCAGGAGGCCAGTAGCTTTGGTGAAAGCTATCGTGCAGTTCATAGCCCCAGATATGTGCATATGTTATACTTTTTGACTTCTAATTCTATAGAGAGATATGTGCTTATGTTATATCTATTTACTTCTGATTCTACAGACAGATATGTGCATATGTTATACCTATTTACTTCTGATTCTACAGTCAGATATGTGCATATGTTATACTTTTTTATCTCTAATTCTATAGAGAGATATGTGCTTATGTTATATCTATTTACTTCTGATTCTACAGACAGATATGTGCATATGTTATACCTATTTACTTCTGATTCTACAGTCAGATATGTGCATATGTTATACTTTTTGACTTCTAATTCTATAGAGAGATATGTGCTTATGTTATATCTATTTACTTCTGATTCTACAGACAGATATGTGCATATGTTATACCTATTTACTTCTGATTATACAGTCAGATATGTGCATATGTTATACTTTTTGACTTCTAATTCTATAGAGAGATATGTGCTTATGTTATATCTATTTACTTCTGATTCTACAGACAGATATGTGCATATGTTATACCTATTTACTTCTGATTCTACAGTCAGATATGTGCATATGTTATACTTTTTGACTTCTAATTCTATAGAGAGATATGTGCTTATGTTATATCTATTTACTTCTGATTCTACAGACAGATATGTGCATATGTTATACCTATTTACTTCTGATTCTACAGTCAGATATGTGCATATGTTATACTTTTTGACTTCTAATTCTGTAGAGAGATATGTGCTTATGTTATATCTATTTACTTCTGATTCTACAGACAGATATGTGCATATGTTATACCTATTTACTTCTGATTCTACAGTCAGATATGTGCATATGTTATACTTTTTGACTTCTAATTCTATAGAGAGATATGTGCTTATGTTATATCTATTTACTTCTGATTCTACAGTCAGATATGTGCATATGTTATACCTTTTGACTTCTAATTCTACAGACATATATGTGCATATGTTATACCTATTTACTTCTGATTCTACAGACAGATATGTGCATATGTTATACCTGTTTACTTCTAATTCTAGACAGATATGTGCATATGTTATACCTGTTTACTTCTGATTCTACAGACAGATATGTGCATATGTTATACCTATTTACTTCTAATTCTACAGACAGATATGTGCATATGTTATACCTATTTACTTCTGATTCTACAGACAGATATGTGCATATGTTATACCTATTTACTTCTGATTCTACAGACAGATATGTGCATATGTTATACCTATTTACTTCTGATTCTACAGACAGATATGTGTATATGTTATACCTGTTTACTTCTGATTCTACCGACAGATTTGTGCATATGTTATACCTGTTTACTTCTGATTCTACAATCAGATATGTGTATATGTTATACCTATTTACTTCTGATTCTACCGACATGATATGTGCATATGTTATACCAGTTTACTTCTAATTCTACCGACAGATTTGTGCATATGTTACTGTATACTTTTGTTTCTATAGAAAACCAACAATTTTTGCAAAGAGCTGAAGAAAGTCATTCCAAACTCATTTATCAAGTATCGCCGAGGCCTGGATTTGAAAAAGATCATACCACAAGCAATTGCCAGAGAGTTTACAGATATCATTGTTATCAATGAGGATGCAGGAGAACCCAGTATCCTTTTTTACGTTAGCTGCTTTGTCTGGCTTTGTGTGAAAGGAGAAAAGCAAGTTTTTGTTGTTGCTGGCATTAGTGTCATTATCTACATAAAAATTATGTGTTGCTTAGATCACATGCTCCTAAAATGCCTTCATAAAACCTACCTTGCCATTGAATGTGTGAATAAAATAAGGAATTATGCTAGAGGGGTTCATGATCGTTAAGAATAAAGTTAATTCGTACAGTTTAATTAAATACAAAGTCTAGAAAGCTCAGCCAGCTGCAGGTGCCCTCTGTTTTTGATTGGTTCACGTAGTGGAATAGAAACAACCAATCACTTGACTTGTTAATTTCCAGAACACTTACATGACATGGAGAAAAGATCCAAAAAGATGTGCACTAACCACAACATTCAAAGCGTTGCATATCCTTCTGCTTGGAGTGTGCCTGGCTTTTCATTTGTCAGTTTTCTTCATGAGGCTTTTACAATGAATGCCTTATATGTGATTATCAACTGCAGATGTCTGCGACTGGTGGAACTGCAAACATTGGGGGAGTGAGCTCCTTCTAGATGCTGAGTATTCTGTCCATTGATTCTGACATCTTATCCTTCAACCATGACCACTGCAATTGTTATTAGGATATTGTTTTACTTTTTCAGGATCACATTCACCTCCCTGATTTTTGTGCTGTATTGTTCCCATTGCGGTCCCTTTTGCTCTTTGTAGAACTGCTGGGGTCTCCACTGCAAAGTTGTCATGCAGTTGGTACAAGAAGTTTTACATTTGTGTTTTTTTTGTCGCAGGACTACATCGCTAGTATTAATGTTTATGTTTCTTAGCTCTAAAACTGCCATTTACTGCCTCTGTTACCACTTGTGTGTGTGTGCAGGCAGGGGGCCTTCAAGCCTGTAAATTTAGGGCCACATGGCTAGTGCTGTCACCTCAGGTTGCTTCTTTCTTTATCAATATCTGATTATTCCACTAGGCATCGACAGCCGAGCCAAGGCGATCAGTGCTTGATGTGCGGTGATGTTATGCAGTCTCAGGGTGTCAATGAATCCTTCAATCCATCTTCTCTGTCTTTCCCTGCCTCTTGATGTTTCGATTTTTAGGTTGTACGCGCTTGCTGTTGGTATTGTTGGTTTTATTCTCATTAGATGACCAAACCATTTCATTCTTTGTTTCTCAATAAATTTGCCAATGGGTGTTGTTCCAACAGTTCTCGTGATCACGTCGTTTCTCACTGGATCTCTTCTGGTTTTATTCACAGCCATGATCAAACATCTCATCTTACAGGTGGTTAGTTTACCACAGGTTAGGGTTTGTGTTGTGTTTGGTTGCCCCCCAATAGAAAAAAATCAAAGTCCAATCTGGCATCAGAGCTCAGCATTCTTGACCATTCAGCCAGCTGCTTCTCTTTTAGCTTTACAGACACTGCTCAAAATATTCATTTACAGAAGATTATATATTATTACAGAGCGTGGAGATTTAAACAACACCAGAGAGTTAAATATGGTTCTGGTTTCTTTAAATAACAGTTTTGTGTGTGTGTCTGTGACATCTCGATATATACCCTTGACATATGGCAGATGGCATGGTATTGTGTCACCTGCCTGATGGCCCAACAGCAGAGTTCAAGATGATGAATACCAAACTCTGCAAGGAATTGAAGGTATTGTTGTTTCATTTATCATCAGTCGCTACATTTATCATTTATTGTCGCTGTGTTTTTCATCTGTTGTTACTTATTTATTATGTATTGTTGCTGTGTTTTTCATTTGTTGTTACTTTTTTAATATACATTGCTGCAGTGTTTTTCATCTGTTGTTGCTTATTCATAATGTATTGCAGCAGTGTTTTTCATCTGTTGTTGCTGTGTTTACCATCTGATGTTGCTGTGTTTACCATCTGATGTTGTGTTTACCATCCGATGTTGCTGTGTTTACAATCTGATGTTGCTGGGTTTACCATCTGTTTCTATGTAAGTCATGTGTACTGATCTCACACCATGCTAATAAGCCAAATTAACCCAACCCAGATTACATTTCATTAAGATAATATGAACAAAGAAGACACAAACAATAGATTGCACAATTTTTTGTCTGGCATATTTCGCTGTCTTGTCAGTTACATACTACAGTAACATTTGATTGAAGTGAAGCAAATAAATGAATCTTTCAAACTGAAACAAAAAATCATCTACATTCAGAAACTGTCAGTAAGACACATTTTGTATCATTTACACTTCAGCTAACTTTTTGAGATTTGTTGAAGCAACCACTATAAACTGGTTTAGTCCAGAATTATGCAAGCAAAAGGACATTGTCTTTACCCCTGTGAAACAGTTTTGAATATAAGTCAATTTTGTGGGTTTTTTTTAGTCAAAGGATTCAACTATTTGCTTCATGTTAATCAATTGTTACTGTAGTATTCACCTAATGAGATACAGCAAAATATGCCAGGCAATAAATTGTGCAATATATTGTTTGCTTCTTTGTTAAAACTTTCAATGTGGAAACATTGTTTTGATTAAGATAATAGTTTTCTATGGTAAAAGATCACGCCAAATATGATCAAAAGATGAGGTTCTTATCTATAGCTGACTGCCCACTATTTGTTCACCATATTACTGCCCACTGTAGTAATAACTAGGTCAACAGCAGCAAAGTAAATCATGCATTCTACCATTGCAGAGGCTGGGGGAGATGACAGAACACATCCCTGAAGTGAACCTTCAGAACTTCACCACCAGACTTGGTCTGACTGTTGGACGGATGCTCACCTGCTTGTTCCCCACCAGAGCCAACTTTCACGGCAGGAGAGTGGTCACGTTTCATAATCAGAGAGATTACATCTTCTTCAGGCATCATCGGTGAGTGGGGTTTCATAGTTTAAAGTGGGCTTCAAGATCCTATAGAACTTGGCTGTTCAACTAAGGGCCCCAAAATTTTAAAAATTGTGATGATTGCGGGCTAGAAACCTGAGCCCCAGCCTAGGATACAACGCAACTGGCAGGTGATTCACCATTTTGTTAGGCCTCAGCTGGCTGGATTTGGCCTGTGGGATGATGGTTAATTATTTTTTTGATTTTTTATTTCTTTTAGTTTGATCTGTGATGTCAAATCCTATTAATTTTTAGATGTTTTGTAATTTGAAGTATTTTGCAAATCCCATTTAATGAACATATTTTGAAGCAAGCATCTTTACCTTTAATAACATCTTAGACCACACTTTCAATCCCGAAGAATGCATGATGTGCGTTTGATTTGCCTCATGAATTCCAACCATGGTGTTTGCTCTGGCTAGCCTATTAGCCACTTATGCTGCATATTTAGCTTCTTTAAAAGCCACTGGTCATTTTACACTGTGGTTATTTATGCCGTTGAACATCTGCCAAATACTGAAATCTTTCAGTTAGGGTTCAACATTATTGTCTGTATGAAAGACTTCTTCCTCATAGGAAGCTAGAAATACAAACAATTTAATGGTAAATAATTGTCAAAAAATTAGTTAAATAGTCGTAAAAAAATTTAGTGCTCTCTTAGTATGGGTTCTGGGGCCCATTTTTGGGTGAGGGGTGGTATATTCACTGCTCCTTTAATAAGCATGTTGTAGGAGGCGACCAAATAATAGCACTATAACTGAAATAAATGTCAAAGAGGCATATCATTGCTTGCTGCTTAATGGAAAAGATAAATTTAGCTACAAATCCCAGTCATTCACTACACTATAAACAAGTCAACCAATCATATACTGAGGTGCACACGCAACACTCAGGTTCTGGAACAGGACTGCAGTCCAAAAGTGGACAAACAGCCAGAACTTTCCACCAGAGTTTACAGCTGGTGAACACAAAGAAAGAAAGAAGAAGAATATACTGAGGTTCTAGAGAGAGAGTGGTAACGAATTACTGAAATAAATAAATAAAAGTTGCTGAATTTTTTTTGCCCATATTAAAAGACATAAAACTTATTTTAGAAACTGTACACTGCTGCACATCCTTTATAGCAGAGCTTTTCAGCAAAGTTTTCAAAATGGGGATTGTCATGGACCAGAGGCCTGAGCCCAGGCATTGAGATAGAGTTAATACAGTACAACTGGCAGTGATCCCCAGGCCACTTACTAGGCCGCCAGTTGACTAGCCCTTCTTACAGATTGTTGCAGTACCCACGCTAACATTTTTAGCTGTTTGATATTACTAGGCAATTTTTACATTTAGTAGATGGCCATTAAAAACCTTACTGGAGAAGTCAAAGGCAAGAGGTAGACAGTGATGCAACATAAAGAGATGACCGAACAATAGGTTGGGAAAGTGAACTACCAGACAAGAGTCAAGACTGTGTTGATCTGTTACAGGCAACCTTCATTGAGAAGATGGCACCTAGTTGATTGATTGAACAAGTCTATAGAAAGCTTAGTGTGGGTTAGTTGAGGGCCTATGCTCCTTGGAAGATGACAAACACAACAAATAGAACTGTCATTATCTTCACTGTCGACGAGACATAAGGCTTCTGCTTTTTGCTCTTCTACGGCCTCCACCATAGACACAACGTGCTGTTATAGTGTTTCTCTGGTGTTTTCTTTCTGGTATTTAGTTTTCTTTCTAATCGGCACGAAGGCTGTATAGTCCTGCCTTATGGTGTGCTCTAGCGCAATCCTTCTCTTTTGACAGTGGTATCACGAAGCCGGTCCGTCCAGAATGGCGAACTACTGGAACGTATGTCATCACACAAGTCATTTTCTGTTGTTGTTCCAACGTGGACAAACTAACCTTTTTTGCTCTACATGGTCTTTTGGCTGTCTTTGTATTGCAAGTCATTTTCTTCTCCAGACTTTTTCTGCATTTTGCTGTCTTGTACACAGACTTCCTAACTTCCTGTATTCCTGGTTGTCAGTCATCTCAGTGTGCATTTGTTTCTACTCAGGTATCACTTCAGAAATGCAGACAATGTGGGCTTGCATGAGCTTGGTCCAAGATTTATTCTGCGATTGAGATCTTTACAGAAAGGGACTTTTGACTCTAGATATGGAATGTATATGTGGATTCACAAGGTAAATATAATTATTTTTTGTTTTGTTTTACAGGGTGATCATTAAATTTTATTAGAAAATGTCTTTTGATTTCTAGAAGTGTTAACTCTTTCATTCACAGACACATGTCATTTTATATTATTATGCCATAAGAAGATGTTGCTTTAATTAATAAATATCTATGCCTGAAATAATTAAAATCACAATTTGACAGAAAGGGTTAAAGTAACTGAAGGTACAGACATAGTTGGTGTAACAGCTGTCAGGTGTATAAAGAAATTGAAGCATGTAAGTAGAAACTGATCAACACATGATAAGTTGATTGGGACATATTGGAAGTAAAGAAATGCTCTAGGGTTGATTTCTATGATTGTATATATTTTTGGAAACTGTTTCGATAAAAAGAATTTGTATAACTTATTTGCTGGCACGTCTAAAAGAACAAAAATCTTATTACAAACTTTTAGGAACAGAATCTTTGAACCCATCCAAGATACAAACAACTGACAATGAAGAGCAAGAGAACAATGAAATTCATAATATGTTTAAATCATAACCTGTTACTGGCATCGTGAAAGCTGATGGATTGCATTGTCTGAGGTATATAGAGACAGTGACGGATAACAGACACACATTGTGTACAGGACAGAGTTGAATCGGAGTAGTCCACAAATCAGACCAAGAAGATGGTGGAAAGATAGATATATACAGATGGAGTTACAAACAATCTTAGTTGGCCTTAGTTTTTCTCCATGTTTCTGCTCCATACAACAGGACTGATTTGACATTAGAATTGCAAATTTTAATTTTTCAGTATTAGTTTCATCAGAAACTCTTTGATGCAGAGAAAACTTTTTTTGAGTAAGAGGGTTGAAAGCAAACCCAGACTAAAAAGTCTTTGCCATCGTTCTTATGTCAGGACTTTATAAAGTGCACTCATTATAGTCATTTGTTTTCATGTTGTAAGTAAAGTAAAGGACCCTTTTCCATGCCTTCGGGCATGTTGGGCATATAGGGCTAGTCCTATATTTGATAGACCAGTTGCACTCTCTGTGGGTGATATAGTCAGTATCATGCCAGTCGCCTTTTCTTCCCAGGACTGTTTCTGGTACCCATTTAAGGCTGGGTCAGCACTGGAAACCATCATCATTTTTGAAAACAAGTCCCATTTAAGGCTGGGTCAGCACTGGAAACCATCATCATTTTTGAAAAAAGTCCAGTTCTGTCAGGGCCTGAACCCACGACCTGTTAATCCACAGGCAAGCATCTAGCCACAACACCAAGGAGGCTCCTATTGTCATGTTGTTGCATTAATAATTTTTTTCAACATTTGTTTCTCTCTTCCACAGCGCCATGAAATGGATGGAAACAGGAGAAAGTTCCACCTGTGATTTCCTACCTGTTTAGTGTTGTTATATATTGTTATCACTGAAACAACCACTCCATCACCTACCATTTGTGCACACACATGTTAAGGATAACTGCAACTTGACTGCTGGACACATTTCTTCCTTGTTGAGATGTCAGGCTAAATGTCTGTGAAATGCATTTTCAAGGAATATTTACTAAATGAAATAACAAATCATACATCTCCCGTTGTTGCTCATATTCTTTATCCTTGCTGTATGTTTATACCTTCAGTGGTGCTTTCTTTGTGTCTTTGTCTATCTCTGTTCTCTTTATGATTATCGCTCTTCCTTCCCCCATCTCACTTAAAAACAAAATTAAAAAATAAAAGAAATAACACAGAAAAAGAGACATGTGTAGCGAATGATAGATAGGATAGAAAGGGGATGGGGGGTGAGAATATTACTTCAAGTCAGGCCGTAATAATCCTATTGAAAATGTTTGCCACATGTGTTTTTAGTGCAAGTCTTGAAATATAATGGTGCACAATAAAGTAGGAATCTTAAGCAGCTGTAGAGTGTTCTGTTTTATTTTGTGCCCTAACTCATTTTTTTTAAACCCATATCTTTTATGGCAGGGCTATTCAGCTGGCAGCCCACGGGCCAGAGAGGCTTGGCAAGTGGTCTGGGGATCATTGCCATGTGTATTGTTTTATTATCTTTCCTCTTCTGGGCTCCGGACACTGGCCAAAAATGATCCTCCGTTTTCAACATTTTTGCCTCTGAGTCAACCTAATTGAATGGCCCTGTTGTATGGCATATGTCAGGCTAGAAGTAACAGTTATAAAGAAAGTGAATACAATCAAGACAGCTAAGACGTCCAGGCTGATTTATTGAAATACCTCAGAGAGATGATGTGATTAATTCAATACTGTGCTGACTCTAATTGACATTCTTGACTAGATTCTAAGAACAACACACAAAAATAGCCAAAGGCTTACTATAGGATAACTATAGTAAAACTTTTTAAACACATTCTAAATAGCCAAAGGCTAACTATAGGACAAAAAAATCATTAACACACAGTTTCTAAGTGTTTTCAAAATCAATATTTTTTTTCAGGGACTAGTAGATGTATTATGAGTAATATGCTGCTGGGAAGAAAATTGTGTTTGTGTAATTTGAGAGTTCATTTTAAGGTATATTTAACATTTCCATGAACTCCACCGCATTAAAAATTTATGAAAACAGTGTTATGACTAATTTTTGGACCTGCTGTGGGAAAGGAGAGTGAGAAGCAACAACAAGATTTTTAATCTGTTTAAATCACCATTGATCACTGGCATCATGAGATCTAAAAGACTGAAATGGCTTAATACTATGTGAGAGAATTTTAGATAATGAAGACAGGTGTCCTAACAGTATACACAAGAAAGTTGCAATGGTTGTAGACCCCGAGGCAGACCAAGAAGACCAATGGAGAGAGAAAGTCTCAAACCTTACTTGGTGCTCACCAACATGGAAAGAACTCCAGGCCAACCAGAAATTTTGAGTGGATGTTCGGATGAATTTCTGGACAGCCAGTGAACCTTAAGGACTCAAAACACTGAAGAAAAAGAACTCCAAGGTCTACCCAGCTCCAATGAGTGCCGTGAAACGAGATAGTGACAGACATTTTGTGCAATTTCCTAGGGCACTGGAATGCAGCAGTTATAGGGGCTATCTGTCTACTGTTATGCTGGGACCTTGAACAGCCACTAGTTGTGTCATATAAAGGTGGCTCCTTTAATCACTATGCCTCTTTATCTTTACTCCCGTTCCTCTTCACATTTATTTCCCATGCCTCGTTACCTTTACTCTCTATGAGTCTTTACCTTTACTCACATGCCTCTTCATTTTTAGTCCACATGCCTTTAAACCTTTGCTCCCCATGCTCCCATGCTCTTTGCTCCCACCCTTTGCTCCATGCTTCTCACCTTTGCTCCCATGCTGCTCCATGACTTCACCTTTGCTCCCATGCTTCTGCTTCCAATGCCTTCACCTGCTTCTCACCTTGCTCCCATGCTCTTCACCTTTGCTCCCATGCTTCTTCACCTTTGCTCCCATGCTTCTTCACCTTTGCTCCCATGCTTCTTCACCTTTGCTGCCATGCTTCACCTTTGCTCCCATGCTTCTTCACCTTTGCTCCCATGCTTCTTCACCTTTGCTCCCATGCTTCTTCACCTTTGCTCCCATGCTTCTTCACCTTTGCTCCCATTCTTCTTCACCTTTGCTCCCATGCTTCTTCACCTTTGCTCCCATGCTTCTTCACCTTTGCTCCCATGCCTCCTCACCTTTGCTCCCATGCCTCTTCATCTTTACTTCCCATGCCTCCCTCTTTACCTTTACTTCCCATGCCTCCTCACCTTTGCTTCCCATGCCTCCCTCTTTACCTTTACTTCCCATGCCTCCTCACCTTTGCTTCCCATGCCTCCCTCTTTACCTTTACTTCCCATGCCTCCTAACCTTTGCTTCCCATGCCTCCCTCTTTACCTTTACTTCCCATGCCTCCTCACCTTTACTTCCCATGCCTCCTCACCTTTACTTCCCATGCCTCCATGAGTCTTGACCTTTACTTCCCATGCCTCTTTACCTTTACTTCCCATGCCTCTTTACCTTTACTTTCCATGACTCTTCACCTTTACTTCCCACGCCTCTTTACCTTTACTTCCCACGCCTCTTCACTTTTACTTCCCACGCCTCTTAACCTTTACTTCCCATGCCTCTTCACCTTTACTTTCCATGACTCTTCACCTTTACTTTCCATGACTCTTCACCTTTACTTTCCATGACTCTTCACCTTTACTTTCCATGACTCTTCACCTTTACTTTCCATGACTCTTCATCTTTACTTTCCATGACTCTTCACCTTTACTTCCCATGCCTCTTCACCTTTACTTCCCATGCCTCTTCACCTTTACTTCCCATGCCTCTTCGCCTTTACTTTCCATGACTCTTCACCTTTACTTCCCATGCCTCTTCACCTTTACTTCCCATGAGTCTTCACTTTTATTCTAAAATGATCTTAGATCTATAACATTTTACACACTTCACCGGATCATCGTTTGAACTCTTATTATAAAATAATTTTACCGGGCATCGAAGAAATTACCGTTAGTTCATATAATCTCTTTATATCAAACCCGTGTTTACGAATCCCACCTTGGCATTCAGGTCACCTGTCAAAATATTCTCAAAATTGCGCTTGGCGGGTAAAGGCGTTTTTAGAATACCATATTCTTGATCAAATGCACTGACACATCGAAAATAATGGGTTCTAACCCACATTACACATTTTCAAGGGGGACAAAAGCGTCTAAAGGGGCTTAATCCAAGTTTAAGATAGTAATATTCCTCTAAGTAAAGTAAAGGACCCTTTTCCACGCCTTTAGGCATATAGGGCTAGACCTATATTTGTATAGACCAATCGGCACAAGATGGGGGATGTGGTTAACATCACGACAGCCGCCTCTATTTTCCGGGACTGCACCCGGTACCCACTCGAGGGTGGGTCGACCTGAGAGCCAAGGTCATTTTTGAAAGAAGTCCGGCTCCGCCAGGGAGGGAACCAACGACCTTCCGATCCGCGGCGAGCGTCTAGCCGCTCCGCCACGGGGACTCCTAATAATATTCCTGTGCTGAATGGTAAATAAATATACTAATACCGATTTTTTTTTGTCTGTTCCAAAGTTGTGGATTTCAAGATGTACGATAGACATGGCTGATGTAGACCCCTTTTTTTAGGGGTGCCTAGTTGGTCATATATCTTAGTACACCTGTTTCCATAGCGAGGCGCATTCACCATTTGGAGGTGACTGGTTCGATTCCCAGCACGGAACTTTAGATTTTGATTGTTGTCTAGTGTGTTCTCCTATCTTTCTACTTCTTTCTGTGAGTGCTATTCAAAATATTGTCTGTTTTGTTTATTTACATATAATGTTTCTACGGTCTCGTGATGATTCCCCCCCCCCCCCCCCCCCCCAATTATGTTAATTTAGTAGTGATGTGCACATTTCCCTCAAAGTGCAGTTACTCAGATAACTCGCATTCTTCTACGCAACATAATCATCGTTAGGGCACGTCGTTATAGCAACCATGAACAAGCGTAATGGATGAAGAGTTAGTTAGTGCAGGTGTTTGAAAATGCGTCTATCCTCCGAATAAGGGCCACATATTATGGCGGCCAAAAACTGGGCATCAGTTACATGTAAATTGCGGACTTCCGATGACCACCGCCGAGAGTATTTCCCGAGGAGATGCAGAAGCTGCTGTTTAGCCGCGCGGAAGATACATCGGCGGTGGCGGTAGACACAGGAAGTGCGCAATTTTAGTCTCCGGAAGTTCGCAATTTACATGTGACTGAGGCCCTGTTTTTGGCCGCTATAATATGAGACCGTTATTCGGAGGATAGCCGAAAATGCAAGTACAGTATAAGTTGTTTTAATTCAGGTTGAAAGTGAAGATAGCTGTGTATACTTCTTGTTCCTCTCGTTTCTTGTGCTTATTTCCGTCATCTTATATTTCCTTTCTTTCCTAACTTCTCCCCCACTTTCTTCACCAGTAATGTATATTCCCCATCACCAAATTCGTCCTGTCTCCATCCTCTTCCGCTTTTTTTCTGCTCCGTGCAGAATTGCTAGTACATTAAATGCAACAATACCGAACTCTGTAGCTCCAATATCGCAACCTTTCGGCCTTGATTCCACGATAGGTACCGTAAGTCTGAGAGAAATGTGGCTTTTCTGCCTACTACAATGTCGGTATGTGCGACGTAGGTGCTAAAATGTATGACCTCGGCTATTATATCTATCCATCGCTTGCGTGGTCGACCTTTGGTTCTGCTTTCATTACGTCTAAATGACAGGGCTGTCTGTGGTTGTACTGTTTTATGGTAGTCGTGACACATGAGGAAACCATTTGATCTGCTGTCTCCTAATAGTTGAGTATTGATTCCCTCCCAACGTCTTTCCTGAAATCGTCATTTTTGATCTTGTATAGGACTTCTT